CCTGAGGAGGAGGAGGGAGGGACAGATGCACGCTGAGACACGCTGGGCTCTGCCAGGCAGACTTTCCAAGCCATCTGGGGCTTGCCCGTCTCCGGTTCATGTCCCTGAGATTTATGGCTGCAGTGACTTTCTAATCACAGTTTTGCCATCTGCCTGTTGGCCTTTAGCACCCCCCTCTCACCTGTCACTGAGCCCTGCCACTCCTGCCCAACTCCTGCCCGTGCCACCCAGCAAGGAGCACCCTTTCCTCTCCATTGCCCCAGCTGCTCATCCAAGGGGCAGCCCTTGTTCCTGCGGGTCCCTTCTCCCTCACCTTCCTGGGTGGGGACACTGATCTCCTGAACTACTCATTGGCATGGCTAAATCCTAATTCTGGTGTTGCCCAGGTCCTGCACCAAACCCTGCTCTGGCCAATGCATCTTCCCAGAAATCCACTTCCTTCTGCTGCTGCCTCCCATCGACAGAGATTTCCCTTGCACCTCCTGGCCTCGCTCCTCCTCCAGATCTGCTCTTAACCTTGTTTCTCTCCAGCTCCAGAAAGGTGATGACTCAGTGACAACAAGAAGGAAAAAAAAAATCTGATTGGGGACATTGGTAAAAGACGGTTTCATTGGTGCAACGCAGGACACGCTGAGAACATGATCTGAACTCGGCGCAGACACCCAAATGAATGTTGTGGTGACACCAGCTGATGTTAAGCTGATGCATTTCTTCCCTGGCAGCTCTGAGTTGGAGCCTCTGGAGCCGAGCATGTGGTGGTTGCTGTTTTGGTCACTGCTGGCATTTTCTGTCCTGGCATGTTGTAAAAATTAGTATAGTCTTGTTTTATTTCTCTTACTGGTGCGCTGGCTGCTCCTGGCCCAGCTGCCTGCAAGCAACAGTACCGCAGGCTGAACACGGCTCTGCTGTCTTTCCTCCAGCGGCCTCAGCTGCCTTCAGCCACAATGTGTTTCCAGCACTATGAAAGCATCTGCAGGAAGTTTCTGCTCTCCCAGAAATAACAGTATCAGGGAGAAGGTAGCTGGGTTTGGAGGGCTTCTTTGCCCTCCTTTTTTTTTTTTTTTTTTTTTTTTTTCCTTCTACATTTTCCCAACAAAAGCATATCTTGAGAGAGAAAAGGGGAGGTTTCTGATCATTTTTTTATGACAGTGCCATGAACATGAAGGCAAAAGTTTTGCTCGAGGTGGGTGCTGCTCCCTCCCCCTGCAGCAGCAAGCTCTCCTTGTTTGGGAGGTTTGTACAGCCGTGTGATTTCTCATGCACAGGAAGCCTGTCATTGGCCTGAGATAAGGTCATGACCAGCAACATCTGTCTGTGTGCCAGGATATTCTTGAAGCTAAAAAAAAAATTTACATTTTGAGGAGGGAAAGGAGAAAGTCTTTTATTGCTGTGTTGATTTTAAAATAAAGGCAGCTCTTGGAATTTGCTGCAGGATTTAAAATGTTCACCAAAGTCCCAGGGAGATGAATTAATGTCCAGAGAACAAGAGAAGCTATCAGAGTGGCATGATTACATGTATTTACCACATGGCTGTCATTTCTCCAGGGGTGATCTGGGGGAGAGAGAGATGGTACAAATGTAGAGCAAGAATTAGGTTATTTGAATCCCATTGGATAGAAAGGAAAATTGCAGTCTGCGTTCTCCAAGAAAGCGTTTTAACTCTTCTGTGGGTGTTTTGCCTTTTCTGCGGTCTGTAAAGGCTCTGGCAGAAGGTGTGGTGGGAAGATGTCCTGTCTGCTGGAGACCTTGGTCCTGCTAGGGCCATGGGTGAGGGTGCCCAAATGTTTTTCCACGACCATTGTAGATGCCTGCACCTGAAAAAAGTGCCAGGGCTGCCCTTCTCCTCAGTGCAGAGACATGGGGCACGTTCTTCTGACCCCCTCGAGCTCTAACCTGGGGGAGAAGGTTTGCATGCTGGTGGTGTGGGGTCTTCTCCACTGTCTAGAGAGGAAGCCTGGCCATGTAACTCCGGTGGAGGCCACGCCAATGTCATCTAAAGATGAATCCCAGCCCCTTTAGTTAGTTTGGAGCCAACACGCCATTGATGACACCTTTGGTAATTGGCCAATACTCATTGCTTTAAAACTTTTGCCTTTTATTTGATGCTTGCTGGTTCCTGTGTTACAACAAATAATGTTCCTTTCTTCTCCCACCTGTGCCGCCATGAAGGCATTAGCAGTAGTCACCTCCAAACTGTGGAGTCTTTGGGCAGGAGTTGTTCCCCGTTGCTGCTCCCCTGTGCCCTTTTAAGCTCTACCGTACCCTTTTGGGATGGGGAACCGGGGCCAGACATGCTGCTCTGCGTGCAGGCAGACCGGTGATTTCATGTTCTCCGTGCCCTTCCCATTAAAGTCCTGCCCCAGCGTTACCTTTGCTTTGTTCGCCTTCCACTGAGCAGGTATTTTCAGAGCTATCCCCAAAGACTCCCAAGATGTGTCGCCCAAGTCAGAACAGCTCATTTAGAGTCCATTATTGTGTGTATGTGCGTATGTATTTGGATTTTTTTCTTTCCTCCAGGCATTACTTTGCATTTGTAGACATTGTATCTCAGCTGCCATTTTCTCTCTCAATTGCAAGTTAACTTTGGAGCGCCAGGGCACGTTCATGTTGTATAACGCGTTACAATTGCACTCTGATGAGTTTTAATCTACTCTTTTGGCCTGCCTGTCCTTTCTTCCTCCCTCCAACAGAGCTGCAAGACGCTGTGCTTATTCTCCTCCCAGTGGCTTCCAAACCACAGATTGCTCAGATGCTCTGTTCATTTTGCAGCTTCTGCGGTGTCAGCAGCTGTGCTTTATGATTTAAGGCGGCAGCAGAACTTTCCACTGAACTATAAACCCGTGTATTCAGTTTCCTGGTATCCACACAACTGGGAAGCTAATTGAGGGCTGGGATAGTCCTGCGAGGAGAGGTCAGGACGTATTTAGATTAGAGGGAGACAATGAGGATTTGTGCTGAACTGAATCAAATACCATGACCCCCAGGAAGAGACACATCAGGGGTGATGCTTTGAAGCTAGAGTCTACCTGCCTCCTCACTGGAGTCTGTTTGCCTTGGGGAAATAGCTGTCCCCAGCTGGGAGAGTCTCTGGCAGGAGGTGATGCATCTTGGATGGGATTGCTGGTCCACGAAAGCCAAGCCTGGTCATCCCCTGGCTGGTGGTATGGCACAGCACTCATTGCACTGGACACCCTTTCCCTGGCTGCCTGCACAGAGATGCTGGGAGCAGCCATGCGATGAGTACGGAGCTGGATAAGGAGTGGAGCTGTGGCTCAGGGAATATGAGTGTCACATCTCTGTGCTCAGAGAGAGGACTGCAAATAATTCTGCAGGTTCTATTACTTTCCCTTTTTTCAATGAAAACTGGCATTGCCATGATGTTCCTTGAAGATCAAGCTTTCAGCAACCGAAGGTTCAGCAGATGTTTTGCTAAGGTTTCTTAAAAATGAAAAATACCAACATTGATGCCCCGTGACAGAGACCTGCAGGAGGGGCCTTGTGTCCTCGTCCCCTTTGGGTGACTTTTCAGGGTGCTCCTCCTTCCTTCTCGTGGCGGCAGCTGGGTGCCACTCTGCCTGCAACACCAGCAGCCGAAGGCAGGGCTGCCCTTGTCCCCAGCACGCGGAGCTGCCAGAGGCAGGGAGGGGGCTGTTGGCAGGACATTCCCCTCCGAAGGTTTCCAGGGCTGGAGAGCTGTGCTGCCTTCTCTGTCCAGGCACGGATCTGTTGACCTTCAGCATGCTGCTTTGCTTATGTTTTGTTGCTGGCCTTTCTAGACAAGGACAGTGGTTCTGGACAGGCTCTGTGTTGTTGTTAAGGCATTAATCCTTTTATAATCTTCAAATAACTCATCCTTTGAAGGCAGTGAGGGCAAGTGTGACGGCCACCCTCCCCCTGGGCTCACTGGGAGGCCAGCGAGCTCTCCTGTCTTCCACTGGTGGCTGGGAGAGGTTCTGTCCTCTCCCAACCACCACAAGGCCAGCTCTCAAGATGGTTCGCTCAGCTTTTCCAGGGACAGTCTGTGTTAGCCTTTGGATACCCTGTAGAGGGTTTAGGGATCATTTGTGAAGTTGTGCCGGTAACCTGAATTATGCATTAGCCATGCCCTTGGGTGATGTGCTTTATTGTTAACCACTTACCATAAAATTGCCCTCAGACAAGCTCTGTTAATGTACGATGCAAAATGCATCTGAGATGGGTAGTAAAGTCGCAAATGTTTTAAGAGACTTAGGTGAAGAAATGAGGCGTGTGCGTGTGTGTAAAACATGATCTATCTACTCATCCCAGTATTAAATATGAGGGTGTCTTCCCCCTGAGCAGACTGGCTTTCTCCTCATACCCCTTCTCTGAAATTCTGGTTCTTGTACTGTGCAAGTCTGATGGAGACCATATAACTGTTCTTTCTGAGAGTCCTCCAGAATACCCAGGCAGGTTTATTTTTTTCCCTGGAAAGTTAGATATTTCCGGTTTATTCAGGAGGGAGCCTTGCCCCTTCTAATTAAATAAGCATCATGCCACTTCCTGGGAGATGCAGAAGGTACTTTGCTAGACCAAGCATCGTCTTTTGCATTTTATCAGCAACTCCCTGCTGCAGTGATGTGCAAAGCCCTTCTTCTTGTTGACCTAGTAGGCAAATGAGTTATCTCCTTTTCCCAGTCAACCTTGTATTTTTTAATACAATGACAAATGTAAATGGAAAGCAAGTTTGGAAAAAATATGTGGAGCTCAGTATGAGTAGCAGTGTTTGAAGGAAAGCAGACGTGGTAGTAATCAACTGTTCTGAAGTGACAATGACCCTGAGGGGACTAAACCCCCAAACCTTCCTTCCTGGGACACCGTAAGAGTGGGGTGGTTGTTCCTTGGGAACTTTGTCAGCAGGTGGACATGTTCCCTGGTTATGTTTACCTGGAGTTAGACATAAAGGACCTGAATGAATGGTCATTTGAAGGAAAGGTCATGAAACATTCTCACTAGGGTTATTTATTCTTAACCAGGATGCTGTGGAAGGAGCTGGATGCTCTACATGGTGATCATGGACACCTGAGCGATTGGATGAACAGGTGACACAACGGTGGCCACAGAAGCACCGATGATTTAGAGAAGCTATTGAGGAAACTGTCTCTTGTCTTTGAGATGATCTATGCATATTTGCTGCCGGTGGGACATACCACAGTGTCAGTAATGAAGGCTGAACAGTTTGAACTTGCTGTGAGACCTCTGTTTGGGGGAGTAACCCTGGTGTTTCAGTGGGTACTGCTTTGAACTACATCTACCAAAACCTGATGTCAGGTGCCCTTGAATGAAGTATCTGGTGCTTGTCAGGATGGAATGAGGTGTTGACGGTGCCAGTAGAGATGGATAAACTTAATTCAGGGTGAATCAGTCCTGGTTTTGCCACACAGGGGTCCTTGAACCAGGAATGCTGCTGACACTGTGTGTTCCCAGGACTAGGAGTGAAACAAAGGAGGTCAGTTATGTTCCTGATGAAGCTAGGTGGCCGGAAGAACATGTCCTTAGGGAGGCAAGACTATTTCTTCCACATGTAAACTCATTTTTTTGACCAAGGACCAGAAGGTAAGTGCTGCCTGGAGCTGCCCCTTCCTTGTCTTACACTGGGCAGCAATGCTGTTCATGGGCCAGTAGGCAGATGCACAGGTTTGCTCTATCAAGCTGGCACTGATGACATTCTGCTTTACCGCACCTCCTGCCTTCCTTGAGGGCCACAGCCTCTCTCAGGCTGACCGCATTGCTGCCGTTCCCACCCAAAATGCCAACACCACAGCCTGGAGAGGGCTCCTCTTCCCCTGCCGCTGCGCTGCAGGGGATAGCTGGGGCACTCGCTGTAGCATGCAACAGCAGCCAAGCACAGGCTGCCTGTGCTCGCTGCCGCTCACCCTGCCTGTGGGAGAAGTCCAAAACACCATTTTTGCACTAGCCAAACCTTCATGCTTTGCCAGGTATTTTGCTACCAGCCTGGAAGCACTGGTTGGCTGGTTCCCCGGGCCAAAGCCCCAAGGTGTGCTAGTGTGCTGCTTTCCCAGTGGCCTGGTAGTGCATCGAGAGGAACTAGATACCTCTCAGTTCCTGTTGCCCTTCCAAAAGGCAGTAGAAGATGAACCTGACAGCCTGCTGCTCTGACACAGACACTGTGTCCGGCTGGAATAAGCATCCTGGGGTTGCCATGGAGATGCCTGATGGGCATCTCTAACTTTCCAGAGACCTGGCAGGATGCCAGGGCATCCTAAGCAACATTGGCAGTGCTGAAATAAATCCCTTCTGCTCCAGGAAACCAAAAAGTAGTCAGTAAAGACTTCTGCACTCAGGAGGGAATGAACTCACCTGTGGAGCTGGGCTGTCTGTCTTGTCCAGTCACTGCTTGCACCTCCACATGAGCTGTTGGAAACAGGAGAAAATGTTATTAGACTCTTTCCTTGAGCAGCTGACCAAAAATCACATTATGCTTTTCATTCTGCTTGCATAGTTTCAGGAAGCTGAGCACTGAATGACACAACACTGCAGGTCTGGTGAGCACTTGTTCAAGAGACTTGTTCACAGCGCTTTGTGAACAGAGAAGGAAAAAGTTGTTTTGATAAAGAAATTGGGGAAAAAAAGGAAGGAAAGCACAGTCAGTGGCACAGTACATCAGTGTGAGTATTGGAGCCCCAAAGGGTTAAAGCAACCCAGAAGTCCTAAGAGGGTCCCTCAGGATAGCTCCTGAGCAGACTCAAGTAATGAATTTTCACTTCTGTACTTTCATTATCGTTGTTCTTAGCTGGAGATTTACTATTGTCCCCCTTCGCTCTGTGACACGTTATTTGTGTCATTGAGACAGTTGCAAGGACAGCAATGTTCATTCAGCTTTCCTATTGGAAACCTGACAGGTTCAATTCCTGTGGGCTCCTGCTAAGCCTGAGCTTCGGGGGAGGAGAAGCATGCATGGACTGTTACCCCAGGAACGACGCTCTGCTTTGCCTTCGCTCTCCTGCCAGCTCCTTCAGATTACCCAGAGAAACCCCAGGTTTACCACGTTGCTGAAACAACCACTGTGCTCAGCAAAGCCTGTAATTTGGTTCTTCTGGAGATGAGCTGGTGACTACCAACCACCCTCCCTTCCCTGCTAATCCAGCCAAGCACACATATCGGGATTAAGCAGCTAAACTGGGTGGGGAGGAGTATCAGTCAGTTCATTGTCAGTTCATTATCAGTCAGTTCATTGTCAGCAAGAGTAGTCTTTTTATCTCTTTCTATCTTTCCAGAAATATTTTGTTACATTGTGTAAAATATTGACATACTTCTGGAGAGGTAAAAGAAGAAGAAATTCAGAACACACTACTGGAACACAAGTAGCAAAGCCTTGTGGTACCATAGCATTGTTTTCAAATCAAATACTTCTTTTAATCATTCATGCTATTTATTAGTTCCCTGGAAATTAGGAAACTGGGGTGGTGACACTGGTAATCTGTGTGATACAACATCACTTGGAGTTTCTCTCTCCTGTTTGGAAAGATCAGAGAAAGATATTTTATTTTTCCTAAGACCCCCAGAGAGTGGAAAAGTGAAAGAGTTAAGGCAGTGTCCTTCATGAACCCCAGCGTGCTATACTTCAGGTTGTGTTTTTAAATACCAGTGCCACCTAATCTACTGCTAGTGCTGGTCCCACAGCCGACTTACTGAGGTCGTTGGCTTTGCCTTCGTCTTTGCTTCCACAGCAGCAGCAGAGCCTGCAAGGATAACGTGACCATAAGTTCATGGTTCTTCTGTGACTGAGCTGCCCACCTGGAAGTGAGTAGTTGTCTATCAAATCTGTGTTTTGCTTGCTTCACACGGCTTATCTCAAGGAGGAGACATGGGTGGCAGCATCTTCTGCCTTCTCCCTGCCCTGCGCTCGGAGTGGTGTTAGGAGCCTGGACCTTTGGGCTGAGGGCATGTCTTGCTCTCCTTACTTGTATCCCTGTCTGCTTTAGGGTTATTCAAGCAAAAGAAGACCCAACCACTGTGACCACCTCCACAGAGCCAAGGAAACAGGGACCGTTCAATGAGGGAAAACACTTTACTGAAGAGGCAAAGCATCTTCATTGCTCTAGAAGTATTCCTTAAATAAACATTCATAGAAAAGGTAAGGTGAGGGTTCCAGGGTGTAGCACGTGAGAGCTGTGCACAGTGCACTTGGCATCTGAAGCTCATGTGCTGGTGAACGGTTTGCACCAGTAGAGCCTGGAGTCACACAGAATCACACACAGAATCGTCTAGGTTGGGAAGGACCTTGAAGCTCCTCCAGTCCAACCATTAACCTCACAGTGACAGTTCCCAACTACACCAGATCCCTCAGTGCTATGTCAACTCTACTCTTAAACCCCTCCAGGGATGGGGACTCCACCACCTCCCAGGGCAGCCCATTCCAGCGTCTAGCAACCTGTTCTGCAAAGAAATACTTCCTAATATCCAGTCTAAACCTTCCCTGATGCAATTTGAGGCCATTCCCTCTTGTCCTATTGCTTATCACTTGGTTCAAGAGACTCATCCTCCCTCTCTGCACCCTCCTGTCAGGGAGTTGCAGAGGGCCAGGAGGTCTCCCCTCAGCCTCCTCTTCTCCAGACTAAACCCTCCCAGTTCCCTCAGCTGCTCCCCAGCAGACCTGTGCTCCAGACCCTGCACCAGCTCCGTTGCCCTTCTTTGAGACAAGAGTTGTGTGGGTGCTGATGCCAGCACAGCTCTGGTTTGCCGCGGCAGCACACCTCATCGCCAGCAGACCTGCTGTTGAGCTGCCTGTGGCTGCTCTCCTGTGAAAACCCTGTCAGCCTTTCCTGCTGGGCAGCCAAGTGTCAGTGGATCCAAATCGCTGGCGGCAAACTCGGGTGGCCAGTTCTTTGCTCTTTCCATTGGCACTGGGTCAGATGACAGACCCTCCCTCCTCTGAGTATTATTATTGTTATGTATTTGTATTGTGGCAGTGCCTAGAAACATCCCCCCCATGCACAGGTTACGACATGCATCACCAGCAGAGTAAATACTGAGCGTCACTGCAATAACACTTCCACCATTCTCATCCCCCTGCTTCCATGTCAGTTTAGAGGTAGCATCCAGCCATCACCACTAATACCTTTCCTGATTCTGGTTAATCTGATGAGCCAAAATGGTGGGGAAGTGGCCACTCCTCGGGGCCATGTTGTAGAGCGGCCCGGGAGCAATGCGAAGCTTCATCAGGCAGCACGGCCTCTCTGATCCTGACTAGCATTCTCATGCAACCTGGAGAGCATCTCCAGAAAGCAGAGTGGTGCAAACAGACTGGTTTGGTTACAGCAACAGGTCTCCAATTAAACATAACGGGAAGGAACCGTTTCCCTGGGTTTTGCTCCGCGAGACCAACTGTCTCAATTAACTGGCTCCCCTTACAGTGTTTTTCAACTGTACAGAGATGAGCCAAGGACACATGAACGTAACTTGATCCAGGAAGATTCCCCGAGTGCCAGGAAGTTGGAGCGCTGCTGCCTCTCCTCTTTATGGACGTGCGCGGCCTGGCCGCTCGCGGCGGGGGCTGCTCCGAACGAGGTCTGGAGGAGAGCTGCTCAGTCTCTCACGTGCTCACGGCTGCACTAATGCTGCAATAACTCCCTAACCGATGTGTCGCCGAGCCCCTGCTGTACTGGTACCATGGGGGCTCTTGTGCCGGAGAGGAAATTTTTTGCTCATGGCAAAAAACCACCCAGTTTACTGGTGATGGTGCAAACCCTAAAATTTGTGGGTGAAGCACTCAAGCGATGCACGTAGCTGATCTCTGTACATAGTTGTCTCCTACATAAGGCTCCCTGCAACCAGGCTGCAAGACCTGGGTCTGCAGCCCCTGTCCCCAGCTCCAGGGAGATGATGGGTTGTGGCTGTGCCCAGGCTCCCTGCCGGGTGTGGGACGTGCTCTCTGTCCCTGCTATCGCTACCTCTCTCCCTGCTCCTCCTGCAGCCCTGGCCACATGCCCCACTCTGCCCTTTTCTACCCCTTGTGCCCTTGTCTTAGGGGCAAATGGCAGCAGCGGATGCTTCCTGGGACCTCAGGGCGAAGCTGTGTCAGCAGGGGCCAGCAAGAGTAGGTAATTACTGGGTGATAACAAGACTTTTGAGGATTTGCCTGAGGTCCTGCCATCCCTCTGCCGATCAGTGGTCCCTGGGGCATCTCTCCCTGCTGACTTCTGCCCACTCCTACCCCCAGTCCATTGCTCAGGGAGCATTAGCAGTATCACCCATGGCAGATGGAGGTGCGGGGCACCACAAGCCGGTGATTTTTGGGACCGGTCAGTGTTAACCCCTGCCTTGCCAGCAACTGCTCCGGCTTTGCCCCTGACTGTATGCTGTCCTGCCCAGCCCCGCAGGTGCACAGGAGGCCCAGGTGGCACGGTGAACATCATGTGAGGCAAGGAGCTGGGGGCTGACAGTGGCCCTGGGCCAAGTCGTTATGACCATCTGCTCTATGCTGTGCCAGGCTGACGGCTGCTATAAAGAGCGTGCGTGCCGCGGAGCACTGGGGATCTGGCGGTAACAGGAGCTGAAGGACTTCAGAGAGGAGCTGACTCTGTCTTTTCAGCTCTGTCTTATGTATATTTATGTGGACGTACAAATAGAGTGAGCCAGCTGAGATGGTTGGGTGTCGCTAGGCTGTGCTGGGACACGCGTGCTGGCTTCCAGCGTCCCCGTGCTTTCAGCTCCATCCAGCTTTGGTGTGATGTGGAGCAGCCGAGAGGCTTGCAAGGGTAGCGGCCAGCGAGGCAGAAAGTTGGGGTTGCAAACGTGAACAGCAGGACTTGATGCTTTTCTGTGACCTTTTGCAATCCCGAGAAGGGGATGTTGGGGGTCTGTGCCTGCTCATGGCAGCAGGTAAAGCCAAGGGCCAGGAGCCCCAAGGCATGTTGTGATGGTGAGAATGATGGGGGAGAGCAGGAGCAGACCCTTCCCTCTCGATTACAGGAGCAGCAGCGAGTGCCTCGGTCAGAAATAGGACTTTTATCTAAAATATACACCTTGGCAATGCAGAAGAAAAGCAGGAAAGAGCTTTCACTCAGTGCTATAGAGCAGCTGTCAAACACCTGACTCTACATTTTGATTTCAGCCAACAGAATTAATGCAGTCTGATGCAAGGCTTTCTCTGAACTTGGTTTTGATTGTTCAGGGGAATGTGTTATCAAAGGCAGAAACGTGGCAAAAGGATTGAATAAGGACTGCTTGAGTATTGTGCACCTAGGGGCATGGTGAAGCGTGGGGCTGTGCTTTGGGACCTCAGTATTAGGGCATTTTCTAATATTCTGTCTTTGAACGTTAGTCCTCTCCTTTCCTTGTGACTTGTAAAATGTATAAAGCCACTCCTAGCTTGGCAGAAAGAGATTTTCTTTGTGAGCCAGCTTGGACAAACTTCAGGACCTGCTTAATGCTGGTTTGGGTCAGACTGAGCTTCAAAGGAAGATTAATTTCAACAGAGTTTTAAAATCTTTTGTGAATTGGCTTAAAACCAAGGATTATCAAAATGTGTCAACATTTACAAGAACTATTTAAAAATAAATCGTCCCTGACGATAACTGAATTTAGGGGACCAGAAATGTAAATGAGAGAAGAAATGGGTGATGGTGGCTCCCTGCAATGTTCCATAAACCTAAGAAGGTCTTTTATTTGCATCCCAAAAGTGCAGCAAGAGTCAAAGAAAAAGAAACCTGAATCTAGTTGACTTAAAGGTCATGAGACTTAGCGTCAGGATATTTGAGGGTCTCGTGATTTTTAAAATGTTAATACCACAAGCCCTGTGTTGGGAAATTCACTGCCACTAGTTATCAGCTATGACATGAAGACTGAGGTTGTTTCTGATCTGCTTTAGTGGAGATTTGATGACAGAGTTATCAAGTTACCTGTAGGAAAGATCTTTTATACAGGGCCCATGAGAAAGTGTGAAACTGGAGAATTTTTTCCTAATTCCTATAACATTTCTGCTATTTGCTGACCAGCCCAAAAAGTGTTTCATTTTTTATGATTTTGGCAGCTAAAGTCACCATTGCACCTCCAGTTTTTCTCCTCAGGGCTCTCGGCACACCTTAAAGAGGTCATCTGAGCTCCTGTCAGCATCTTGGGGAGTGAGGATCAAGGTCTGGGGGGTGCAGCATCTCGTGAACCTGCTGCAGAGCTGAGGTTAGAGGCACATTTCTCTTTAGTAGTTGCTTGTCTGAGCCTGCCTCTTTTCTCCTTTCCCCAGCCCCGAATTTTACCCACACATCATCTTGAAGCTGTTGGTTGAAATATTTCATATTTGGTTTATATGCAACGCTCAAGAGGTGCACAGGGCAGCTCTTAAAAGGTCAACTTTATATAAATATATAATGCATATTAATAAAATAGATAATTTTAGAATAAATTCTGAGCTGCTGTAAAACATGGGAACGTTTTCTTAGGGTAACTCATTTTAGTGCTAGTGCTAGATCAGAGGATCACCAGACACAATATATTTTGATTTATAAGATTTATTGGCCATGTGTTGCTAGCACAAGAAGTCAAAAAGGAGTTGAAATTGTTGGTGCTCAAGCTGTGCTTTGGGCTGCTATCGCCAGCAATGCTCTCATGCTGCAGAGGCTCGCGAGCTTCCAGCAAAATTCCTGCCCTGGCTCTATCACATATTGCACTGCTTAAAGTGATAAAAGATGGTTACAGGGTCATCAAGAAACACTGTAACTCATTGTGCTGGTGATATCAGAGCTGTTGTCTGTTTTAACTCTGACCTTATCAAGTAGTATTGACCGTGCTTTACAATAAAGACCCAAGATACTGTAATTCTTCAGGACGTTGACTCACAGAAACATAATTTTTGTTTTTCCAGTAAAAGGCCCAAGAGTATTTCTGAATTAGACTAACAAACCAGTAGTGTTAATTCTGCTGCAGTGCTGGCACATGCAGGGGAGCCCAAAGTGCAGTTGGGCGCTGGGCACCCAGCACGAGGTGCAGCGGTTGGAGCCACGGCAGGGCTGGCGGTGCCCATCAGCATGTCCTCCCGGCCCTGCACTGGGGAGCCGGGGCAAGCAGCCTGCCAACGGAGCGGCACCTCTGGTGGCTGGTGGGAGCCTTCTGCCTTTACGTCGTTTCATACAGACGTGT